CCTCGGCGGGAGTGCCGCCGCACTTCCCAAGTGGCGCACTGTAGCAGTGCGCCACCGGGCCGGCCCTTAAGCGCTACTCTTATTAAGCGCTACTCTTATGTGAACAACAGGACAGAGATTATCTTGTGTATAACATCTGATGTGAGAGATGAAAAGATACATTAAAGATTGGAAGGCCTCTCTTTTTTTTTTTTTTTTTTCGTTAAATTTTTATTTTGTCAATATACAATGTATATGATTATTATGGCCCATCACCGACACCTCCCTCCCTCCTCCCCTCCCCCCCAAGAATGTCCTTTCCGTTTGCTTGTTGTAACAACTCCAAAAAAGTACAGTTGTTATATGGAAGGCCTCTCTTTCAAGACCACTAATCATATCTGCACTTAACATACAGTAGACGCTCAGGAAATAGTTCTCTTTAATGTGCTTTCTGGCACATTAAGCCTCCCCTGTTCCAAGTGGACACATTGATGGGTAGAGCTGCTGGGGTGCCATGTGTAATATCTTGTAATTTACTGATTTTCTTAAATTGTTGCTTCTTTTTTTTTTTTTTTTTTTTCCTTAAAAGATGACTAGTAAGGGGATCCTAACCCTTGACTTGGTGTTGTCAGCATCACACTCTCCCAAGTGAGCTAACCAGACATCTACATAGGGATCTGAATCCATGGCCTTGGTGTTATCAGCACCACACTCTCCCAAGTGAGCTACAGGGTGGCCCTTGAATTGTTGCTTCTACATACCATTTTTGGTGTACCACATTCTCTCTACTGGACCTTTATCTTAAGCTCACCTTGTGCCTACTTGGATCTTTCAAATTTCATTTTCATACAACTCTCACTGAGAGGTTAAGGAAAGTCCATTTTGCAAGTGTCTCATCAACCTGCTTCCTCCACAGCTGTGGAAGTACTTGGGTTCCAAGCTGATTTCTTATGAATCTCTTCACTTTCGTACCCTAACAATAAAATCAGCTAAAACTTACTGAGCACTTAGAATTTGTCAGGCAATGTCATAAGCACTTTACATGGATTATCTTAATGCTTATAAAAACTTTTAAGAGTTATAAACTAATATTATTGACATTTTTACATAAAAGGAAACTGAGGCATAAAACACTTAAGTCACTTGTGTTTAAGTTTTTAAACCAGATCATATGAAGAGTTACTCTATTTGGCAAATATTCCTCTTGTTAAGGACTTCAAGGTCATAGGAGGTACTGATTTTCTTTTCCTTCACACCTTGGGACCCCAGAATCAGTTGGAATTATGGCTTTAAAGTAGTTTTTTCATTGTTTTGTATATTTATGAATATGTACCTCTAAGATAAATTCTTAGAAGTGGAAGAGCTGGGTCAAATAACATGTTTTTAATTTTTTTTTTTTTTCCTTTTTTTTGTCTTTTTTACTGACCGGTAACGGGATCGCAACCCTTGGTGTCGCGCCCGTACCGGGGACCGGCAACAGGATAGCAACCCTCGGTGTTGCGCCCACACCGGGCTCAGCCAGTGAGCGGGAACCGGTCTCCACATGGGATCCGAACCCTCGGCGGGAGCGCCACCGCGCTCCCAAGCGGCGCACTCTCCAGTGCGCCACCAGGCCGGCCCCTAATTTCATACTTCTGTATGAAAAAAGCCTTTCCTGCTCTTTTCAAAATACTTCCCTTCTTCAAACTGCCTTGATTAGCACCAAGCATTGCTTTGTCATAAATTTAAAATGTTAAGAATCCATTTTCTAAGTCCCAGGCACTGAGTATCTCCCCCGTTGGCATTCTCTGATTCTGGTTTATGCCACAAGATAAGGCTAAAGCTCTGAGCAAAAGCTAAACCTGATTGAATTTTTCTGAAAGTGTCTCTCATAAGTTTGGGCTACAAGTGATAATGAGATATCCAATTCTTTATAAATAAATAAATAAAATGTTGAAAATCAGTAAAAACTATGACAAATTTTTTTTTTCCTTTTTTTGTCTTTTTTCGTGTCCGGCAACGGATCGCAACCCTCAGTGTCGCGCCCGTACCGGACCGGGGACCGGCAACGGGATCGCAACCCTCGGTGCTGCGCCCGCCCCTCGCTCAGCCAGTGAGCGGGAACTGGTCTGTATGTGGGATCCGAACCCTCGGCGGGAGCGCCGCCGCACTCCCAAGCGGCGCACTGTAGCAGTGCGCCACCGGGCCGGCCCATACAATTTTTATATACTTAGTTCTGATTCCCCTCAGTACAGAAAGAGTTGATGAGAGAGAAATGGATATTACAACATTTAACGGATGCTTATCAAGGCCACTTTTGGTACCAGGCCACGTGCTAGGCACTAAAAAAACTAGGAAAGTGTACCCGTGGAAGTTGAAGATGTAGAAATTGATTCCCTTAGTACCATCAGTTCTAGCACATGCCCCTTGGAAAGTCTCCATGAGCTCTAACAGGAAAACTAGTTTGAAGACCCCTGACTAGTATAGTGTTTCACAAATTTTCAAGATCAAAAGAATCATCTGGGGGGCTGAGCCCCTGGCGCACTCGGGAGAGTGCGGTGCTGGGAGCGCAGCAGCGCTCCCGCCACTGGTTTGGATCCTATATAGGGATGACCGGTGCGCTCACAGCGCTCACTGGCTGAGTGCGGTGCGGCCGGTCTCAAAAAGGACAAAAAAAAAAAAAAAAGAATCATCTAGGGAATTTTTAAAAAATATACATTACTTTCCCATACTGATCAGCTGCCAAACAAAGAAAAATATACACTACTGGGCCCCATTTCATACTCAGGAATGAGACTCTTCAAGAAAAGGACCTAGACATCCATTTTAACAGGTTCCCGGAATGATTTGTATGAATAGACAAATTTGGAAAACACTAGTCTCTGTGCGGACAGTGGATGTGTGGGGATGTGTGGACAATGAGGTTGGTAGGGGAAGATTGGTAGGATTATGAGGAAAGACAAGATGTAATTTTAAAAAAAGATTTAGCAGTAACTCTTACAAACATGCACAGAGAGAGAGATTAGATGGCTGAGTGTATTTTAAGAACACCATCAGATTTGTGGAATAGTTCTAGATTTAACAAACCTAGAACTAGCTATAATTCCCCCCTTGTTTTTTGAAGCATATTTTTCACCTAGGGTGTTATCTTTTCCTGTCCTTGTTCTCATCTGTCCCTTCAGAGTGTATTACTTAAATTCTCCTCTTCTAAATGTACCTACTCTTGCAGACAATTCAGCCTGAGTTCTTATTTCTTCAACTCTTAGCCTAGTCCTGTTAAGCAGCTTTGGGTAAGATCTGCCAAAATGTCTTCTGGATGACTGATCATATAAGCAATTGTAATCTGTTTAGCAATTCTGATCCTAATCCTCTCCTGAGTGTGTTTTCCAGTGGTGCTTGGATTATAACCAGTTGATGACGGAGCATTTTATAAAAGGTTTATATTAACTAGATTGTCCTGTGTATCTCCTCCATTTAAGGCCCATACCATTTCTTAGAGAAACTAACAAAAAAGGGGGCTGACTGGTTAGCTCACTTGGTTAGAGTGTGGTGTTGGTAACACCAGGGTCAAAGGTTTGGATCCCTATACCAGCCAGCCACCAAAAACAAAAACAAGTATCATTTATTTATTTATTTATTTTTTAAAAAGATGACCGGTAAGGGGATCTTAACCCTTGACTTGGTGTTGTCAGCACCACGCTCACCCAGTGAGTCAACCGGCCATCCCTATATGGGATCCGAACCTGGGGCCTTGGTGTTATCAGCACCGCACTCTCCCGAGTGAGCCAAGGGCTGGCCCCAAAAAAACAAGTATCATTTAACATCTCTGTGTTTCAGCATTCATTGTAGATGTTTATCTTATTCTCTTTTATAGCATTACACCATTGGTTTAGTGCCTATGAGTCTGATATTAGCATTTAGTGATAAGCTCCTTCCTTTGCCTGACATAAAGAATGGCTAACATATATTTCATTTGTAAAATGAATTCAACATCTAACCTGGAAGAGTTGGAATTAGATCATAAGAGATAATATTTTAAAAGGTACCTAGCAGCGTGTCTGCTACATGATAGCTGTTCGATGAGTCATAGATATTTTCCTTATTACTTATACATGAGTTTCTTAAACTCAGTATTTAGTATGGGTGAGTTCAATTAAAAGAATAGGTTAGGGCCGAGCCCGTGGCACACTCGGGAGAGTGCGGCGCTGGGAGTGCAGCAGCGCTCCCGGTGTGGGTTCGGATCCTATGACCGGTGGGCCCACGGCGCTCAGTGGCTGAGTGCGGTGCGGCTGGTCTCAAAAAGGACCAAAAAAAAAAAAAAAAAAAAAAAATAGGTTATAATTAGAAGGAAAAAAGTCAGCTAAATATAAAATTTGAAAATTTTATGTGCCTTATTAGATATTTACTTACAGTTAATCCAGTTCTTAGAAATATGAACACCTAAAAAAAAAGGAGTCCTATATGTTTGAAACAGTGCCTAGCACTGTCTGAACAGTCCAGAACTATCTACTGAAATTGATGGTGGGTCAGGAGCACAGTGATTGTGCATGTTGGTACTCCAGGGCTTATTCTTCTATCTTGGATTTCTAAGAGATTGTGCCTCTGTGTGAGATACGTTGTCTGCCAGATGTAGTGAGTCAAGACAAACATTATAGAAACATTGTAGTAGGATATTGCACCATAGTTTTGTTAGTTTTGTTTGTTTTTGTTAGCACTTCCCAGGATCATTTGACAAGGAAGTCACTTAAGGGCAATGCCTTGTGTGTGTTATTTTAATTCTGATTTCATTTCCTTATCACTGACTATTACTGTTGGTATCATATTTTTGCTGACCTTTTTTTTTTTTTTGGCGGTTGGACAATATGGGAAACTGAACCCTTGATCTTGGTGTTATAACACCACACTAACCAACTGAGCTAACCAGCCAGCCTATGTTCTCCTTGTTAATGTGAAATTCTTCCAGTTCCTTGGTTACAAAGGTATGGTTCTAGTGATTGTAATATCTCAGAAGGCAGAACATCTGAGTTCTGATCTCTGCCACAAATGGTCGATGGGACTTTTATTATTCTCAGCATTGGGAGGATAAATTATTGTCTATGAAATACTCTGAAATCCCTAGGTAGTGCTTTCAGACCTGAAATTCTTTTTTTTTTTTTTTTTTTTAAAAGATGACCGGTAAGGGGATCTCAACCCTTGGCTTGGTGTTGTCAGCACCACGCTCAGCCAGTGAGCAAACCGGCCATCCCTATGTGGGATCCGAGCCCGGGGCCTTGGTGTTATCAGCACCGCACTCTACCGAGTGAGCCACGGGCCGGCCTCAGACCTGAAATTCTAATGGTAAATTAAGAAGTTTTCCTCACAAGTGTTTTGGGATCTCCTGGCAGAATTCTCTTTTTCTCTCTTGCACTCTTGCTCTCTTTCACTCATACTCTTCCTCAGAGGGCTGAAGATGGGCATGCTATTCCACAGTTTTTAAGCCCATTATTAAAGAACAATATCTCTGAATTTGGAAAATCCAGGAATTTTATTTCTTCCAGTGCCTTCACCTCTTTCTTAAATTCTTTCAGATTTGGCATTCTTTAGCTGTCAGCTTTTTTTCTCTGTTGGCTTTAAACAAGGATATTCCCAGCCAAGACTCTTGTCTTCCTGCTTGTGACATTGGCATGCTTTCTTTTTACCACAGCATTTTCCTCTTGATTCATCTGGGGTGCTGTGGCTCCAGAAGCTGGTGTATTTTCTTGTCCATCCTCATATATGTTTCTGAATTTTGCTTCTTGTTTGTATTCCACTAATAATCACTTTTGATTTCTTTGGGCCTTCCCCACAGGTGACAGTTCCTTCTTTCTCCGCACCTGGCTCATGACTCCACTTCACATTACTGAAACTCCAGCTGAATATCGCTATAATAAGGCCCATTCTGCAACTCACAGTGTGATTGAGAAGACTTTCCAAACCCTCTGCTCCCGATTCCGCTGCCTGGATGGATCCAAGGGAGCACTGCAGTACTCACCAGAGAAGTCCAGCCACATCATCTTGGCTTGTTGTGTCCTCCACAACATCTCCCTGGAGCATGGAATGGATGTTTGGTCCTCTCCAATGACAGGACCCATGGAACAGCCCCCTGAAGAAGAGTATGAGCACATGGAGTCCCTGGACTTAGAGGCTGACCGTATCCGTCAGGAGCTGATGCTTACTCATTTTAGCTAATGTGGAAGGTGGGGAGGAGGGAAACATTACAGGAGGAGTTGTGACAGAAACAGGGAAACATTCCAGATAGAGTTGTGGCAGACTTTTCCCCTCACCATCCCTCACACGGTTCCATTATCTAGCATGACTGAGGGTGCAGACACTTGTCATAAGTTGACTTTTTATTTATTTTTTTGGTGACTGGCCAGTATGGAGATCTGAACCCTATAAATTGACATTTAATCTGTGTGTTTTAGAAGGGTTGGGGCTATATTAGAATATCTTTTTTTTTTTTTTTTTTTTTTTTAAAAGATGACTGGTAAGGGGATCTTAACCCTTGACTTGGTGTTGTCAGCACCACGCTCTCCCAAGTGAGCTAACTGGCCATCCCTATATGGAATTCGAACCCCTGGCCTTGGTGTTATCAGCACCACACTCTCCCAAGTGAGCCACGTGCTGGCCCATAAGGCCAAGTTCTAACGAACTGAGCTAACCAGCCAGCCCAGCACCACTCATTTGAAAGCTCACTGGTTGCAAACTTTTATGATTGTGCCTACAAAGTCATAGTAGAGGGGAAAACAACATATAGTCAAATACTGTTTTGGTTTCAGTTATCTGGAGATATTAAATTAAAACAGTATTTGTTTGCTCTGAATTATTTGGGTGGTATTTTAGGTTTTCTACTTTGATGCCTATATAGGCATAATAAGAGGAAAACGAGAAGAGTGAATTTAAATTGGGGAATGGTCTTCTGATATAAGTAGATGGCTTCTAATCTGCATTTACAGCTTTGTGTATGAGGATGTTAAGGACAATCTGAAATTTCCATCTTTAGCCCATCTGCAGTAATTGGACTGTGATTTGGACCTCACTGCTAGGGAGAACATCTGGACTGCAGTCTCTTATATAGCTAACCCTGAGTAAGAGTTAGAGACTAAGTGGGTTTAAGAACCTGATCAGCTTAAAGAGGACAATTCAAATATAGATAAAATAGCAAGCTTACACTTTACCAGGGATCTAAAGACCCTGTTGGATTGATAGGTTAGATTGATGATTCATCCAGATTTAGATAGCTTACATTGAACTAAATCACATTTCTTATGATCATGATGTTGTAGTGTCTTTTTTTTTGGGGGGGGAGGCGGGTGCAGCTGGCTGATACAGGGATCGATCCCTTGACCTTGGTGTTATCGGCATCACACTCTAACCAACTGAGCTAACTGGCCAGCCCAGAATGTCTATTTGGTCATTCTCTTTTGAAATTTCTTTTACAGAAGGAAGGTTTAGGAAATAAAGAAGGCATGTGAAAGTATTAAAAAGGAGATGTAAGAGGATATAATTTATTGGTTTGAAATGAATTTCAGAGTTAGACCTTGGATGTCTTATATGCAACAGTGATGGACAGAATTTCCCTGGAAATAAATAATGCCCTAGCAAGTCTTATTCTAAAATTGCGCTGATATAGGACCGTCCCGTAGCTCACTTGGGAGAGTGTGGTGCTGATAACACCAAGGCCATGGGTTCGGATCCCTATATAGGGATGGCCAGTTAGCTCATTTCAGAGACCGTGGTGCTAACAACACCAAGGCAAGGGTTAAGATCTCCTTACTGGTCATCTTTAAAAAAATAAAATTAAACTGATATAAAAATAATCTGATTGGAATAATGAAAGTGTAAATTAGGTTCACACATTGGTGACTTTGCTGGGACAAAAAAGAGGCCTTCCTGAGGATTGTTTTATTCTCAGTTTCTCAGCCACTCACCATGTGATACCTCTGAATTGTCCTCTTGGATCATTTTCTACCTGCCTTCGGCAGTGTTAATCTGGTGATTTTCAAAGTAAAGTAACGAACAGCTGATGGTAGAAGAAATTTGGAAAAAAATTGAGGGTGACTCATCCTCAAGATTAAAAACAATTATGGATTATTATCTGCTGTTTATTTCCACTCCAAATGCTATTTCCCATCATTATCCTACTCTATAAAGAGTGAGCACATTTGGCAGGAGGTTGCACTTAGTATTTACAGGGTTGTCATTGAGGTGGGGATGGGACAATAAGAATTGACTGGAAATTTTAGTTCTATTCATTGTGCAATAGAGGTGCCTTGTTACTTTTTTTTTTTTTTTTTCATTTCTTTTTTTTTCTAAAAGATGACTGGTAAGGGGATCTTAACCCTTGACTTGGCGGTGTCAGCACCATGCTGTCCCAAGTGAGCCAACTGGCCATCCCTGTATAGGAATCTGAACCCATGGCCCTGGTGTTATCAGTGTCACATTCTCCCAGTTGAGCCACGGGTTGGAACCATTTTTTTTTCTTTTTTTAATTTTTAAAAGATGACCGGTAAGGGGATCTTAACCCTTGACTTGGTGTTAGCAGCACCATGCTCTCCAATTGAGCTAACTGGCCAACCCTATATGGGATCCAAACCCGTGGCCTTGGTGTTATCAGCACCGCACTCTCTCAAGTGAGCCACTGGCCAGCACCATTTTTTTTTTTCTTTGTAAAGTTTAACTTGTTACCCAAGCTTGCTTTGTCTCCCTCATAAGGCAGTGTTTTAACTCTCATGGTCTTTCCTTTTTAAGTCTCCTAAGATGGGTATTTTCCCCTTGAAGTTTTGGTTCTATTATGCATACTGCCTCAGGAAAGGGTTACTGCTAACACGTATCATAAGTAGCAAGATAGAGTTTGATCATGGAAAGTGCCTCACATTTTAGCCTAATATAATGACATTTAAGAAAATTGGATGTTTCACAACTTAACCTACTAGGTGGTGGCAAGAAGCCTAAGTGGGAGGGACAGTCTTGGAGAGATTTCAAAAGAAATTTCAAGTGTATTTACTTCCACACCAAATATAATCTTTGAGTTCTGAACTGACTGAACATTGGCTGGCGGTGTTTTTTCTTGGGAGTGTTTTATTTCCTAATAATTCCACAGAGTAACTATTCAAATCTACGCCTTTAATCTCCTTTCTACCTGGATTTTTACATGTCAGCTGTTTTTTCAGTTCATAGTTACACTTTCCCCAAAATGGTCTAGGAGAGGGAGCAGGTTCTGTACTTCTAAATTTCCAAGAGTTTGCTTATAGTGTCCGAAAAAGCTTCTCCCCTTGAGGTACTTAGTGTGGATTTATAGCCAATTCCTGGTATGGTTTTGGGAAAGAGAAGGATTTTGCCTCTGTTATGTAATCCCCATCTTCCATCTGACCAGTTTTCTAAACCTTAGATATTTCAAGACAGCAAGGTTCTAGGATATGTCAAGGGAAAACAATATTGGGTTAGCACTAGTTTCCCAATTCCAAATGATGCTAAAAAGGGACTATAAACATATTCTTGGTTTAAATGAACTGCACAGGGATGGAGCTTCTTTCCTGATCCTTGGACTGTAAAGGATCTATAGCAAGTTAATCTAATTTAGGGACAAAAAAGAAGACATAATTTTAATGGGGTCATATAGTGAAGTCATATTAAGAGGTGGGGGTAAGGGTGAAATAGAGGCTAGACAGATATTAGGCATACTAAGATTTTATCCCTACCTGAAATGAACTGAAAACTGCTCAAAGACTGAGCTTTGCAGTCAATTTCCCTGGCAATGGAGGGGAAGTTAGGAGGGTGACAAGAAAATAAGAAATCAAAGGGTCTTACCATTGTGCACATACATGTCTTCAGGGCCTGTTTTTGTTGTTGTTGTTGTTGTTGTTTTTAAAGATGACCGGTAAGGGGATCTTAACCCTTGACTTGGTGTTGTCAGCACCACGCCCAGCCAGTGAGCGAACCGGCCATCCCTATATGGGATCCGAACCCGGGGCCTTGGTGTTATTCAGCACCGCACTCTCCCGAGTGAGCCACTGGGCCGGCCCGTTGTTGTTTGTTTTTTATTTTTTTTATTTTTATTTTTTATAGGATGACCGGTAAGGGGATCTCAACCCTTGGCCTGGTGTTGTCAGCACCACGCTCAGCCAGTGAGCAAACCAGCCATCCCTATATAGGATCCGAACCCGTGGCCTTGGTGTTATCAGCACCGCACCCTACCGAGTGAGCCACGGGCCGGCCCTGTTGTTTGTTTTTTAAAGATGAGCGGTAAGGGGATCTTAACCCTTGACTTGGTGTTGTCAGCACCACGCCCAGCCAGTGAGCGAACCGGCCATCCCTATATGGGATCCGAACCCGTGGCCTTGGTGTTATCAGCACCGCACCCTACCGAGTGAGCCACGGGCCGGCCCTGTTGTTTGTTTTTTAAAGATGAGCGGTAAGGGGATCTTAACCCTTGACTTGGTGTTGTCAGCACCATGCTCACCCAGTGAGCTAACCGGCCATCCCTATATGGGATCCGAACCTGTGGCCTTGGTGTTATCAGCACCACACTCTCCCGAGTGAGCCACGGGCTGGCCCTTCAGGGCCCGTTTTGGTCTCTAGATCCTGCCAAGATTTTACAGAGTTATTGTGGGTATGAGACTCACAATTACAACTGTTGATGTTGATGATAAGAACGGCAATGCAGGAAGGAAGGGAAAACACTAGCTGGAGGCTGGGGACACCTCAGTTTTCTAACACATCAAATTCACAGGCTTTTAAAATTTTTTTCATCATGGCTACAGAACCCAGACCCCCTCTGTGATAATCAAATAAGAGGAGATTTCTGGATACTAAACAGGAGAAAGAAAAGTAGACCTTGAAATCATGAGATAGAAAATTTCAAAAAGGCTGTTGGGCTGTAACAAATTTCAAGGAGTTTCCATGTTTGCCCAGCAAAACATTAAGGATCTATTATTCTGTTGAGATATTAACTTTCTCTAATTCTCACATATACTGCTGTCTTTTATAGATGAGCTGATTTATTTGCCATTCTAGAGCCTTAACATGTTAATACATTTCAATCTATTGATAAATTCCAGTGATAATTATTTATTCCTATATAAATAGTTCTAAAGAAGGAAAAGCCTTCCATCATTCTACTGATGTAGGTTTCCTGCTATTCTGGGATCTCTCCCCTTCCCTGGGATGCTCCTACATCACTGAACTGCTTCTA